CTACTTTCTATCAAAAGACAAAAAAAATGTAATACAACATTAAAATTACAGATTATATTATAAATTCTACTGACTGCTGCAGTACAAAAAAATTGCATTTAAATATGGTTAAATGTGTTAAAGTTAAGTGTACTCTACATTTCTACACAATGAATATCTTTTCATTCACACTGACCAAATTTGATATGTTACAGTATCAATCTGCTTTGTAAAGACTGGTCAGAAATCATGATATAAACATAATCGATTAACTGCAATGTTATGTACAGCGCTAGTTTTTAACATTAAGAAAGAGTTAACCAGGAATATTATCATTAAAACTAAAAACTTAAATACAATATATTTTTGTTACCTGAAACAATATAAATGATAACTTAAAATAAATTATTAACTTACTTTATTTCAGATAGTTGCCAATGCAACATTTCTCATTTTCATTTAGTTTAACTTTAAGTTCTAAAATAACTAAAACTAATAAAAATGAATAAAAACTATTTTTTTATTACTATTACATACATTTTTTTAAATCACAAAACACAACAAATTTACTAAAACTTTAACTTTAAAGTGAAACCAGACAATAAAAACAGAATCTAATTCAAAGTATTAATCAAAACTATGGTAACACTGTATTTTAGGGTTCAATTATCACTATTATCTAGTTGCTTTATATTGGCTGTTTATTAGTACTTATAAAGCACATATTAATGGCTTATTCTGCATGATCATATTCTACATCCCTTAATCCTACCCCATACCTTAACTTAACCACTACAACAACTACATGACTAACTATATAATAAGCAGTAAATTCAGTGTTTATTCAGGCAAAAGTTGTTAATAGTGGATGCATGTTCCCCATACTAAAGTTTTACCAAAACTCTAACAGCATATCATACTAAAATAACACTGCTGTTAACTTAATAAAGCATCAAAAAGTTTAAAAACCACTGGACTTAAGCATTACAAAATGAGTCACAATATTTAATAAAACAACATGCAAGTTCACAATGATATGAAAAAAAAAACTTTATGAATGATTGTCCTGGTAATAATTAAATAATCAGTGTCTAAATCAGAAGAGATATTTTTCTGGCCAGTTAAGTTATTTCGAGGAATTTGTCTCTGCATTCAAGCAACATTTTAAATGTGTCAAGTATCTGTACTGCAGCACGTCTTAGGTAAAGTAAGCTTTAAGTAAAAAAAGTAAGCCTGCTCGAAGTAAAAAAAAAATAAAAAACTTTCTACAGAAATGTGGGCAGGGGGAGAAGCAAACGGTGAACTTGATGTCCACAAGCGTTTATGTTTGTGAATATGTTTGATAATGAGGTGAAGAGGAGAATAAAGATTCAGTGAGGGCTAATAAGGACAAGACACTAGGCACATACTGTGATAATGGCCAGTGAGTTCTTCCTGAGATCTACAACACTTCATGCCATCCGCCACTGATGGTGCCCTTGTAGCATGCTGGCATTAAACAAAGGACATTAACATCAGCAGAGAACGTTATTATTTTTCTTCACAGTATGAATTTCAATGCCATTGTTTTACTGCGACATATCTTTCATGTGCTCCATTTTGCATGTGAAAGAAATGTAAATGGAGCAGTTAAAGCCAGGGAAAACTTCAAGACGAAATTCAGCCAACAGCTCATTAGTCTGACTGTTAGAGCACACCACAGGTGCTGCGGTGTCCTGCCTAACGAGGAAAGCAATGGTCATTAAAGATTCTCTCACGCTAACTGGCGACACGCGGTCGTTAACCTCTGCAACCTCCGTGGATTTCAAGAGAGTTTGACTACGAAAGTTACAAATGTTTTTTTTAAGGAATAAGGAAGATACACAATTAAAATTCTGTTTCTTTAGAAATTGTTTATTTCAATATAATAGGGCCATCTATGAGAATTATTAAAGGGATAGTTCACCCAAAAATTTATATTCTGTCATTAATTAGTAATTACTCATGTTTATGTCATTCTATGTGGAACAAAAAAGAATGGAAGTAGAATGTCATCCAGGTATTTATTCGCTAATTGTTTATTAATACTGTGTATTCAAACATACTGCCCATGATATACCATATTTTTTTGCACACTATATAGTGTACAAAGAGCATACTTTCTAACACGCATAGTAGGGAAGTCATATTCAAATGCAGGGAGTCAGTTTTGAATGAGTACTTTTCAACAGACCCAGTACATAAATCAGACTCATGAACGATTCATGAATCAGACTGGCTGCATCCGAATATGCATACTTCCCTACTATATAGTTGGTGACACTGAAAAAGATTGCAATGCCAGGCAGACGATGTGCCGTTCCTGGCTGTGGAAAAACAACATGTTTGTATACGCTGCCGAAGGAAAATGTTTTCAGTTTATTTTTAGCGAACGCCCCAGTCAAGTCAGTGCTAATTTACGCGTGTGTTCAGTACATTTCACCGTTGACCGTTTTGAGAACAAATCGCAGTATGATGCTGGCTTTACTTTAGCTCAAAAATCAGGCCATGCCAACAACGATGCCACAAAATGCAAGTAACGTATTTCATGTAAAAACTTTTTAAAACGGTAATGGCGGTAATGGATGTTAGCCAATCATAAAAGTGGGTGGTTACACTGAGCTCTTAAAGGGAAAACACCCCAAAACCGACTGTTTCAGTCAAAGGATAAGAAACGGGGTGAAAAACGTCATAAATCACAATGCTTTTTGTCCAAAAACCTTTAGTAATACTATAATTACACCTCAGGGATGAAAAACATGTCATGACCCCTTTAAATTACTTGGAGAGTATGCGATTTTTGATGCAATCACTGAATTGTTTACAAAGGTTGGTCACTATGAGCTGTTGTTTTTTTTTATGGAAAAAGACCCCATGAAGATTTTCATAAATAATTTTCTAGTCCACGGGAAAAATTTCAATTTTCAAAATCATTTTTTTTGAGTGAACTATTCATCTAAGCATTATAAATATTTTCTATGATCACACCTGAAAGTTTGCTCACATCAGCTAGCAACACCTTGTATCCAGTCACTGTTGCCAAAAAGTCACTTAAAAATTACAAATTGCAAACAGGGATTCATAATGAAAATGAAAAGTGGTCTAACTTAACGCACTGCATATAGAGACAATGAGTAATTTAGTCTCTAGTCCATTTAAAGAAGATTAAAGCTTAACAAATTAATTATTTAATGCAGACTGCAGTGTAACTCCAAATTAGCAGGCTAAAAGCAAACATTTTTCCTTTACAAAAGTGTTGCAAACTATATATTTAAACAATCGTGACATTACGGTAAATAAAAAAAGGAAAGAGGCCAACACCATTCCTCCCTTTAGATTCTGCTCAAGCACTGTTGCCACCTAGTTCAAGCAATAACATGTCTCAATCGCAGAGTTCTTCGCTCTGTGCTGATACACTCAAAAATAATATCATTAAGCTCTCCCTCCACACCACCACACACTGCATTAAAGGAAACTAGCTCTAGCCAACTGTGTCAGAGGCAAACGAAGCCAAGTTCTTCATGTTACTTGATATAATAGAAACTGTTTGCATCACATTAGAGAGTTGACTCCAAACAAAAGGACAGTGCATGATTATATAATCACAATATGAAAGATGATCATAATAAGTTAATTATGATATATTTTCTAAGCAAACCTCCCAGATTATAACATCACTTTTTAAACCAGTGTTGATGTTAAAGTCACAATGAAACGGAAGTAGCGACAGATCTGTTCTTCCTTACTGTGACATACATCTGAGTGAAATGGATTATATCGCAAAAGAAAAATAGGGCAGGGACTTCTAAGGTTCTATGCATTGGTTGTGGATTGGATTTTGAGATGTAGGCGTTGTACTCTGGATGACCGTGAGCTCGAAGGGGCAGGATTTAAATGGACAAAATGATTGGATAATCGTTTTCACCGAAAGGTCCAATTACGACATTTTCCTTAAACATTACGAGGTCAATTTTTATTTTTTTTAATGAAGCATGCACAGATTAATTTGTTCACAATAAGATCTATACATGCATTTAGAAAATAAATAGTGTACATTTTCATGTCAACTTTACACTTCAAAAATTATTTATAAATATGTATAACTGAACTAGAGAACCGGATTAGTGAATGTATTGGTCCTGTTTTTTTTTGTTTTTTTTTTCATATGGTTCATAATCGGTCACAAAACGTGTTCGACTAACTCTTTTTCCCCCCAGAGATTTTTTTGACTGTTCAAAACATTAGTTCTTCTAAAATTTCCTGAGCCTCGTGTTTCTACTGTGCATGACTTTATTTAATGAAATGTTAGGAACAATGACAGCCTCATTTTCACTGTATGGAAAAACGGTACAATGGAAGTGGATGATGACTAAGGCTTGTCAGTCCCTACATGATACATACCACCTAACATCTCGCTTTGTGTTCAACGGAAGAAAGTCATGCGAGTTTGGAAAACCATGAAGGGGAATAATTAACCATTTTTGAGTGAACTACCCCTTTAACCATCATTTCTTTATGAGCAAACGTCTAGTGCTCACTGTATACTCCACACACAGCAGGGGACTCCGTCTATGTTCAGTCATTTCCAAGAATTAGGAAAGAGCATCAGATTCCTGCTGGTCTGTGGTTTGCCATGTTACTCTAATGTAGCAAAACCTTATTCCTGGCTGACCGTCGGGACAAAACCATGGGCTCGCGCTACATTTCTCAACTTGTTTGAACAATCCAGACAGCTGATTTGACTCATATCGTGCCGCATTGTTTACAGGAAGTCAATCTTCATATTTAACGTATGAAAAGTGTAATAGCTTCTACGATTTTCACTTAAAACAGTAATTCCTAAAAAACCGCCACGTCTAAGTTTTACTAACAGACTTACCAAATGTTATTCCTGCCTAATCAATACATCAGAGGAAAATACTTACTAATTCACCAAAAACAATCTCGTTTATCGACTAAGACGTATATGAAGAAACACAAAACATTTACACGCTACACCATACCTGACACAGTTGTTGGCGTTGCTGTAGCCATTTACTCTTCAGGGTAGCGTGTCGTGGTCCGCATCCCATCGCTTGTCAACCGGAATCGCCGCTGACGCCTCTCTCGGCGTTATTTGGACGCTCGCGAGCCAACAGGGCTTCCCTCCTGCTTGTCAAACTCGAAGCGCGTATCATACGTTCAGCTGATCAGCGTAGCAACAACAACAGCCACAGTGTCGCGCAACGCAAACAGTTCACACCGCACCACCCTGCACGCGACGCCCCGGGGGTCCCGCCCCCACTCTCAGTTCTAGGGGTGATTAATATTCATGAGGTAGTATACTTCCGCGACGCCCATTGGCCGAAGAAAGTACCTTAATTTTTAGCTCCTTCCTCGCTGTCAGCCACTGCGAGGTGACGTCATGGAACATTCAAAAAATGCCTTGTCCCGGTATTCTTCATTTCATGTGTACATATTATTAACAACCAATATTCCTGCGTTTAAAACTTTCTCATATATATATTTTTGTATGTATTTTTAAAGGGACAAGTTACCCAAAATGAAAATTCTGTCATGAATTACTCACCCTCATGTTGTTCTAAGCCTGTGATTTTCTATTTTCTTTCTGCAGTATTGTATTTAATGAAATAATAATAATAATAATAAACGCTTAAAAGTGTTTGATTCCTCCATTATACAATTTTTGGGCTTGTAACAAAATGAGGATGAGTAATTATGAGTGTAGATAATATTCACAATCAATACTCAAAAAAATAATAAGGTATATTATTATTTTATTAATTTTATTAAATAAAATTATACACACACACACACACATATATGTGAGGACGAGTACATATTGGGGGGGGGGGGGGGGTACTTGGAGTACTTATTTCATATTTCATATAATTGATATTATTTCTAATTGCTTGTGGAATATCAGCTAAATTTATATTAGTAACTGTGATCATAACCAAAGTCACATATTTTATGGAATATGGGGTGATAATGCCTTAACACTAACAGAGCAAGTGTTTCATGAGCAAGCCCATCTGGGGGATGCTACTGAGTTGCTTATGTCAGCACAATTCCCTGACTCATTTGAGCTCTTTAGTAGGACTGAAGCTTCTCAGTTGCACTAATGGTAGCATGGCCCACATGGTGGGGTTAACCATCAGCATGGACTTTCATTCATTTAACTCTTTCCCAGGGGCATGGAGGAAAAGTAAACCAGAACATTACTAAACTCCCAGGAAAGTGCAGTTATTCCCAAGTATATTAAAAAAAACAAACCTAAGTAGTAAATTATCACTCCGTGTTTCCCCAAAACTTTCCAAAGGCCCTTTGTATACCAATTCCCAAGAAAGAAGTTCTAAAAAGCTCAAAGCTGCACCAAATCTGCTGGGAATTAGTTGTCTTTTCATTTTCCTTGTTGGATTTATATTTCCAATCAGATTACTTCCTTATTGCCCCACCAACACAGGACTCGATTTGATCACAGCCTTAAAAAATTCCCAGACCGTGTAAGTTGAGTTCAGCGAAACACAATGAAGCCTGGGTATCTGTTCTGTTGTTTGTCTCTGAATATACTACAGTATTCACAACACTCTATGAATCTAAACAGTCACTAAACACACCATATGACAAACGGTTGACAAAGGAATGCTTTGTTTAAAGGATGCAAATGTAGTGCTGGGTCAATAGCCCAAGGACAGTTTAATTACTGGGCATAAATATAGCTTTCCAAACACTACGCCTGCTGGGCCTCCAACCTGTTATTATGCTTTTTTATATTTATTTTACAAGAGTCAAATTACTTTCAAGGAAGCACAATAGTGGTGCTTGAGGAACTGGGCAAAAACTTGAATGTGTAAGAATAATAATTTTCAAAACCCCCAACTTTCTGTTTATTTCTAGGTTTAAATAAGATATTGAATACCATATTTTTTATGCGGTCTCAGACTTTTGGACTCCACTGTAGTGCCATTGTATTACATCTGATAACACCCAGTGTTAATTTAAGATTTATTATGTAATACTATAGTATTTATTCATATTTTCAATTAAATGTTACTATAATATTTTCAGTTTTCAATGAGATTTTACTGTATAGCAAGCTTGTTATACACTTTTGTCATTTTAAATAGTTTTCCTTTACTATAAATTTAGCTTTAATTTGTTTTCATTATTATATTATATTATATTATATTATATTATATTTTTAGTCAGTTTAGACAGCTTTAGTCATTTTCGTTCAGATTTTTTTAAATGTAAGTTTTTTAATCCAATATTTCTATTTTATTTCAGCTTTACTTCAATTAATAAAAATAATTTTTCATAGTGTTTATTTAATTTTCATTCATTCATTTCATTTCAACTCCTGCTGGGCCTCCAACCTGTTATTGTGCTTTTTTATGTATTTATTTCACAAGACTCAAATTACTTTCAAGGAAGCACAATAGTGGTGCTTGAGGAACTGAGTGAAAACTAGCAAAACTTGAATGCATAAGAAGGTCACCGTGGGGTCAATTACAGCGACATTGCATGACAAAACCAGCATGTTATTGTGCATTTTTCCACCGTAAAGCCCAGTGATGTCACAATAACGTCGGACTGAATGTTTTGCTGTTTAATAGGTCAACGTTCTGGCTCTAAAATTAGTGAAGAGATTAGGTGAGACTCTCATCATCTCAGTGGGGTCAACGCTGTGTATTTAGAAGGCTTAGACGGACTCCTGGAGACTCTTAGGTGTCCGGTAAAGTTCACCTGGCATTCAGGTGATGAGTCATAGCCCTCAGCTGCCTGATCCTGTCACTGGATGCCACTGTCGTTCAGACTGCCTGTGGAGAACGAGAGGGCTGCTGGCTCCATTGTCATGACAGCCGCCGTCCTCGTCTGAGTCAAACAGGACACCTGACTGGGCGTGTGGCTGTGAGGTGCGTGACGGCCGCATGGGTGGGGGGTTTAGGCCATACAGAGAGGTCTGTTGTGATTGGCAGAACCGTGATTGCACAGTTCACGCTCTTTGAACTACATTGGACCACCCTTATGTTGGGCTTTCTTTCCCAAAAGTGAGCGAGAGGGAGAAGCACAGTAGCAAGGACACTGTGTTGTGAATGCACCACAGTGTGACAATTTGATCCTAACAGGCTTATGTAACAGGGATGCCTGCATGCTCATCTTCCAGCAGACAACGACTGCACCGACTGTTATATAACTAGATCAGCCTCCCCACAGAGCCAGGCTGCGCCTGTGCACGGCACACAGCAGCCTGCCAAAGAGAGCGAGAGAGAGACAGAGACATAGAGACTGAGACAGAGAGAAACTGCCTGCTGCAGGAACACAAAGAGAGTCAAAGACAATGCAGGAGTGAAATAAAACATTCGGAAAAGGATACTATCAGTGGAGTAACGATAAAAGTAATGCATTAAATAATCTAGCCATCACTTACAAAAAAGTATTGTGGCATATATAATACAGTTTTCATTTTTTGGGGGGCATGAATAATGGAAATGAAATTATTCAGTATTTGTATAGTGTAATATAATATATTATATTATATTATATTATGTTAGTGACCTAGAAATATTTTTAAATTAATTTAAAAAATCCCAATATTTCTGTTTCAGATGTGATAAACTGCATTTAGTAATATGGTTACATTTAATAATATTAGTACTTCAACTTAAATCTATTTTATTTGAGTTAGTTACTAAGGCGACATTTTTTTTATAAATAGTTTTTTTAAGCTGATGTTTTTCATCTAATATTTGTAGTTTATTTCAATTAACGAACCATTTTTCACAGTTTTAGTTTCATTTTAGTTTTAGTTAACAATGGCGACACTGATAACACTGGGACATGAGACATTATATACTGACCCTACATATCATGTGTGTAAATATTTGATTATAATACACATGCAATATAATAGTAGAAAGTAAAATCAATAGGTTGTAATATATCTCTCTATGTTGGTAATGCACACATCACCCTTGTAGTATCTGATTTTTCATTGTCCATTACTTGCAGTATGTACATCTGAGCCTTCTCTGAGAGTTCATATTTCCCCAAATGTATTCCATATAATGGCTGACAATATCATTTGATGAACAGGCAGATATGAAATCTGATTATGAAGGAGGATCTGCAGAATGGATTTAAACATAGTAAATGTCATGTATGGATATATAGCCATCAAGTCAAAATGCTGAATAAACACAGATGCAAGATGTGAGCCTGACAGTGAGGAGCTGCAAATATTATCTTGTGTTTTCATCTATGACCTTTATATTCCCTAAGAATTTTCCTTTTGTATCATGCCTATGTGGATCATTTATGTATTTTGCATAGTGCAGCAAAGAGGCGGTTTCTTGGTCTTGAGTTTCAGAGCAGATAAATCCACCCTTATAGGAAGGCATCACAATCCTCTGCCACTCTGCTGCCAGACTCTGGGTTTTGTGGAGTCTAATGGGTGGTAATGTTGGATAAATGTTTCCAGCATACATGTGCCAGCAGGACCAAAACTCAGTTAGCGTTGCTCCATACTGCAGTCTAATCCAATGTGCTTGGGTTTTACACTTAGAATGCAATTACACCTCTGACAGCCGCTTTCAGTCATTTCACTATAAGAGCAGTGCCTGCAAATCGAGTACAGTTGCTCTCAAAAATGATTTTTTTTCTCCTTTCAAAAAGATTTTGTTCTAAAAACCAGTTGCAGCTGGTTTTGTAGATTCTCAAATGGTCACATAAAAACAGAAGACTCACAGGAAATGAAATGACTGTTTTTGAAACTTCTTTACTGCTTGTGGTGTAACTCCTGGAGCATGTTAGGAACGTATTAGCCTCCCAAAGCCAATCAATGGGTCATACTGTGGCTAATCCTGGAGTAAACCACCCACTTAGACAGGAAATAGGCAACTGACTGATATATAAAGTGAACAATCACAGTTGGGTGGGTTGGGTAAATATGTATAGATGGACGGACGGACGAGTAGACAGACAGACAGATAGATAGATAGATAGATAGATAGATAGATAGATAGATAGATAGATAGAATTTAGAGAACATTTGATCAAAACGAATAGAATAATATTGTACTCTGCACACGTGAGAGTTTTTTGGTCCCTGAAATGTTGAAATATTCAGTTTTAATGATGCAGACAATGACCACGACTGATGCAGAATTTTTTTTAGTGAAACTGTTGTTGTGAAAATGCACAACTGCACGTCACATCCCATTGATAGCAGGCTGAGTATCAGCATTGTGATTTCACACTGGGTCAAAGG